ACACTGAGCAGATACCTGACACCCATTATTTCACGTGTGTGGTCTGCACAGAGGCAACTGACAATTAACAAACACATACTGAGAGCCGACGCAATACCAGGGACTAGGCTGGGGCTGCAAAGTGGAGAGAACACAATCCTGGTCCTGAGAAGTTCCCGGCATGACTGGGGCGCTGCAGCTGGGCCAGGCAACCTTGCTGACTATCTACTTTGGTTCAATCATTGGCAAAATGAGGATTTCCGATGAGGTGACTCCTCAGGCTCCTGTTTCATCAAACAATGAATGATTTCACACTCACGGGGCTAAAAGATCATGCCACCTATTGATAATTCCAGTGCTTCTTCAGTTCTGCCACTTATTAACCACTTGTGTTAAATGATTATGTACATGATCAATACTACAGTACTTTAGGAGGTCTCTGAGGTCAAGGTCTTTGAACTGGGCTGCTAGAATGCACTGGCAGAAGGAGAAGCCCTTTATAGAGTGAGATCTCTCCCAGTCGAGGCAAAGCCCAAAAGACAAAGCCACAGTGTTCACACAGGAAGAGGCCTCACAGTCTTAAAGGGCACCTAGGTCAATGCATCCATTTCTATCCTGAGCCCCAGAGGAACAAGTGATGTAGTTCACGGCTGGCTAGGTATCCAGTTCCCTGACACTCATGCTAGGGCTCTCTGCACTGCCCCCCACTATATCAAAATGGCTAATAGACCAAGCTCCAGAGTCAGGCTGCTTAGATTCAAATCTCTACTCCACCACGTTAAAGATGTGTGATCTCAAACCAAGCTATTGAGCCTCTCTCCTTGAGAAGTTGGTATCATAACAGTATCCACCCGCTTAAGGGTTAAGCTAGATAACGCTTATTAATTGCAACAGCATAGTGCCTGCCACAAATGAGCCTTCAATAAATGATGATGATGGTAGCAAACACTCACATAAAGCACCTAGTATGTGCCAAACTCCAGTCTAAGCACTTTACATTCATCACCTCATTTAGTCTTCACAAGCATCCTATGAATAGGTGGGTATTGCTACTACTCCCGGGAAATTGCTGCACAGAGAGGCTGAAAAACTTGCCAAAGTTAGCAGCAGAATGCAAATTTTTAGCAAAAGCCTCTGCCTCCAGAGTCTGAGCCCATAATCACCACACTGTGGGTGTAGGGCGGCTAGTGACTTTCTGTTGCCAACTTCGAGTTTTCCTGCGGGTCAGAGGCTTCTATAAACGCTTAACGTGAAATAACTCACTGAATTTTCACACCAGCCTATGGCACAGGCACTAGTAGTACATTTATATTAAATGTTTACATTAACATAACCAGGGGCTAGAACAGAAGGTGGAGACAGTAGAGGGGCAGAGTCATTAGCTACAGGGCAAAGAGAAGTGAAGTGAGGACCAAACATTCAGAACTACCAGGAAACTACTCTAGGCAGGAAATGTCCAAGGATACCTCAGATGGGAGAGACATTTGTGACTGGATGACACAGGTGAGCAACAAAGATAACGGACCATTTTGCCAGCTTCAGAGTTTTGCTGAGGAGCCAGATCATTGTGGCAATTAGGGGGAGGGGGTACTGTGTAGTGGAAAGGCTTGGGCTTTCAAGTCGAGCACCCTGGGTTTTCTTTTAGTAAAATGGAGATGATAATCCCTAATTCGTAGAGTTGTTTTGAACATTAAATGAGATATTTTAAATGCCAAGCACAGTGACCAGCACAGAACAGGCACATAATAAATATTAGTTCCTCTGTATGCACAGTGTGTCATAAACTAGAATGGGTCAACTTACGGGTGTTTCCAATGTGAGTAAACCACACACTCCCCCACGCTGGGGAAATGGAAGAGAGAAGTGTATCCTTGCCGTCCTGCCTCAAAATGAACACTAGGATACCCTGTTAAGCGCAACGAAGAACAAAATCATTTTTCTTCAGACCTACATCTGGGACAAAGAAAACCTGGTTGGATGTTTGTCCAGACTGTTATAAAGGAAGGACTCTTCCAGCCTACACCCTTAGGGATGGCATGGAATGTAAGCCTGACAACAGTACTTTCTGGACATCCAATCTTGGATAAATTGCCAAGTCCTCAGAAACACTTTCAGATGACATCACTCTCTTGGTTTGTTATTACTCAGAGGGTTTGATTATAGTGGGAGCTTTCCCAAATCCCAAATCATTGAATATTCCACATGTACAAAAAAATCACTCTTTCCTAGTGGCAATATTTTCAAATCCCTGCAGAGGATGCTTAACTGTCATCTCGTTGATCTCCTTTGCTCTTTCACCCCCATGTACTCCAATGTAACACCAGTTAAGACCTCGTTCATTTTCAAGATCTTCACTGTCAGTAAATGATTATTTGTGGAATAGAATTATAACTCTAAAAGAATATGTTTTACAGTGTGATTGATGGGAAAATGTGCTCTGACCTTGCAGGGAAAGACCAATTTCCCGACACTTCAGCTCTATTTGCTCAAATGCATGACTGTTATAAATCACCAATTAGAGCTAATAATGGCGATATTCTCACCTCAGTAAGTACTTGGTTTGGTAAAGCTCTAAGAACTCTCAACTTCGGCAATCAATTTATTTAACTATGGGAAACAGCCTACTTCATATAGATTATCACCTTAATGTCGTATTACTCCCTAAGCTCGCACACACTCAGAATGAACTGTCACTTAATATACACTCACGTACACCTCTCATTATTAGGCTGGCCAGTCGAGAAGCCACATTGGTAGAACATCACAGTTATCATTTTCACCACACTCGCTCCTAAATCTTTCCGGTTCTGTAAGTTAACTTCATGCCAAACTAGGTAAAAAATAACAAAAATAGCCCCAAATAGGGAGTTCAGGGGATACCGGAGTTTCATCTCAGTTCCAGTGGGAAGATAAGGAATTCTATCTTGATGTTTGGGTCCCAAGTTCCAACCATCTCACCAGCTAGTACCTGGGAGTGAATATTGCAGAATGTCTTCCAATACCTCAGCTCCTACCTCCAGTCAGTAGATTGTTAGATGTGTCAAGTTCATCTTTTAAATGTCTTTTGGATCTTTATTCTCCATCCTACTACCCTGCTGTCAGTCTTCCCTTGTTTAATATTGCAATACAGAAGATTTTCCATTTTACAAGTTTGTAAAACACAAAATAAAAACATCGCAGAACATGCACATCAACAAATGGCAATTGTGGGCACTTGGGCGTAGGACCAAATGGACCCAGGATACCCTTTAGAGCCCTAAAGTCTGAGAAAATTCTCTCCCCTGCTTAAAACACTTCTCTGAATTCTGTTTGTCTGTAAAGAAAGTGAGCCCAAGTTCAAAAAAGTGTCTACTGAGTCTAACTCAGAAACAGAAGCTAATAGGCTCCTATAGGCTAGAGCATAGTACCTTGAACCCCTACAATTCCTTGAAGATTGACCTGCACCCTCTTCCAAATTTAATGTTGCAATACCAAAGACTTTCTGCATCTTTCAAAGAATTGAACTATTTTTTTCTCCTCAAGAAAGAATCTGTAAAATTAAAGTAATTCTTTTTTATTACATAGTTTCCTAGCTTTAACGACAAGCATTAAAAGTGAGCCATTCTGATGCTGGAGGCAGTGTCTCTGACCTTGGTTTATAGGCTCCTAATTAAGTCCTAACTAAGCAGCACTAGCCCCTCCCATTAGTGATGGATAAAGGCGCCCAGAGAAAAGATGCAGCCCTTGCTCTTCTCCAAGTTCAATCTGCCTGGGAAACACATGCAAAAATGATTATCCAGAGTGATGAGAAGAGTAACAGATGCGTGAAAGGAGCTACAGGAGCACCGGGAAAGGTTTTGCCAGGCATGCAAGACAAAGAGAAACAGCGTAAGTAGAGGGTGCTGCCCAGGGAGTGTGCCCAGCGTGCTAATGATAAAAATGAGCTGGATCGATCAGAAACAGCAACTCTCTGCTCTCCTATTTGGAACTGTCACACGAAAACCTGACTGTTAACTGTGTTACGGACACTTTGTTTTATCAAACAAGATTTATATTTTTGTCAATCTACTTATACTCTTTGACATCACAAGAAAGGAAAGTATTCTAAGGGCAGAAGATTGGTGCCCTCTACGCCCTCACTGACAACTTAAATTGCCCATCTTACTAGAATTGCTAGAAAATCTCTAGGAAAACACACACACCTCAGAATAACTCCAGAAATAATTTAGCCAACATTTTCTTTTCATTTGAACTTCAACAAGTACATATTCAATCAGTATTAGTGGCCTTAAGTACCAAAAGCAAAATTTTCCTCAAAGCAGCACAAACATAAGCTCTTTAAAAAAATGAAATATGGCTCCGTTCTTCTTATCTCCATCTCACCCAGGTGTTGGCAAAGANTAAAAAAATGAAACATGGCTCCGTTCTTCTTATCTCCATCTCACCCAGGTGTTGGCAAAGAGGATGCCCTCCCAGGAAACCAAGNAAAAAAAATGAAATATGGCTCCGTTCTTCTTATTTCCATCTCACCCAGGTGTTGGCAAAGAGGATGCCCTCCCAGGAAACCAAGAAATCTCCCGATTACCCATAGCAATGGGCCACCCGGTACAAGTAGACACTGAACGTTTGTAGACAATCCCCAAAGTCTAATTTTACTCTGATGCTTTGACCTTCTACCTCATAAGACCTTTCATAATCACTACAAAAATTTGGGAAAACTTAATACTTTGAACTTACCCCATATTTCCTCCTGCACTGTTTACTCAAAGTGCTTGTAAACTACAGGAAACTGACACAGTTACCAAACGGAGCGAACGCATACACGAGGCCGCAAAGCAGGAGATGGCCCTAAATTGGATCACCAGCCTCTGAGGCTTTGAGACCAGACAGAGGTCCATCGTCACGTGTAATTAGAACAGAAAAACTTTTTTAACCAAAACAGCAGGCTGCAGGCTGTTTCCCCACTTTTCAACCTTCCTCCTTGCCCCACGCATCCCCCTTCCCCCAAGGAGAGCCAGAGAAGCTTGCGTGGTTTGACTTACGATTGTGAAGTTCATGACTTTGAGAATCCAGATGGTCATGGCCAAGTTCACCAGTATTAAAATCATCAGCAGCAGGACGAAGAAGTACAGGCATCTTTTCCGCCAGCCGTAGATGCCCACCTTGTACACCTGCGGCCCCTCGGAGCCGGGCATGGCGCCCCGGTGGTGTGCGTACTGCTCCTGAGGCATCTGCAAGAACGAGGCGCAGAGGCGCTCACATTAAACTGCGGCGAGAGGAAAGAAAAGACAGGCCGGAAAAATCACTGATGGAGAGGTCTGGCCGGCGCTGTGGAAGTTCCCGCCCTCCTGACACTCGGAAAACCTCTTTCCTCTGGACGAGAGCGGCTCCTCTGGATGCCTGCTTCGGCCCCTCGGTTTGCGCAGCCGCCTCTCACGATGTGTGTGGACACCCGCATGCACACGTATCCCCGAGGGAAGGGGCCCTCGGAAGCCACTTCCGAATGTCCCTCAGAACCCAACCTCTTTGCGAGGAGACACTCAAGATCTATCAAAGGCCTAAGGGTAAAATTTGGAATTCATCTTAGAAAATAAATTTTATACCCCAGCAGGTCACTGTGTTGGTATAATAATGCTATACAGGCAATTGATTTGGGGGAGGGGATAATGGTCTCAAATGCAATCATTCTTGATTGCCCGAAAGTCAGAGGCAAAAGTAACAGTTAGACCTTCGTTCTATGCCAAAGTTCAAAGGAGTGCTGATGGGCACACAGAGTAAGCCTGACTTGACCCAGGAATATTTAACAATATTTAATAGCCTGTGCTTACATGCTTCCCTTGACAGAGAACTCACTACCCTTAAAATTAGTCCCTATGCCTCAGACAATTCTAATTGGCATCAACCAACTCATTCATTAAATAAACAGAAAGGAGGCTCAAAGTCAAGTAAGGTGTAGACGTGCCTTCCAGGGCTTGTAGGCTAATGGGAGGAATGAGCTAATTAAATAGTGAGATAAGTCAGAACAGTATTTGTCAATATCAAGTAATATGCCAACCCCCTTCAAAGTAAGGACGCTTTCCCAAATCCCCACTGTTGACACAAATTATCTTTATAGCAGCACTACTAATTAGGAACCAACACAAATCTGAGTAAAATGATCACTTCATAAAATTATAAAGCCAAACCAAATTTTAAAATTAAATTCAAACAACCGTGTATCATTCAGAATGGAAAAGAACTGACTGCTACAAAGGAAGGTGATTTTTTAAAACTAAACTGCAAAATGTGCTACCAAGGGCTTTAGCACAGCATCCGCTGAATATGTCATCCCAATTTTGCCACAAGCCATGTGACGACAGGACCCCTACTGAGCTTTTCTGTTTAAATTACTGCGCAACCTTTATTTGGGGATTTTTATTTCATTTGGTCCTTAGGTAGGCAAACTTCATTCCCTAAGAATAAGGCCTGCCTCTGTTTATTTTCATCCTGTTCAACAGCAATTAAATTAGTGACATATTCTGCCAAAGTCACCAAGTGACTATGGTGACAAACAAAATGTGGGCCCTAAAGTCACATGCTTGGCTATTAGGTCATCTTCCAGATAGTTCAGAATATGATTATTTTATGGTTTTCAGATAAGCATTAAAATGCATGCCTAAAATCAAAAAATCCCCCAAGAGAACTCACAGCTTTGAGGCATCAGTGGAATTCCACTTGAAAAACCAAGTGAATTTTTACTTATGGTCAACAGAATTGCTCAGTCAAGGCTTATATGATGTCTGTCTCATTCTAAACATGACCCTAGCACTGAAACTGGGCCCTCTTATGAAGATGTGTTTCAATATATGTGCATGGAATGAATAAGTGAAGACATGAATGTATGAATGATGAATGAATGAATGATTTCCCACCCACTATGAAATCTGCTGCCTCCTGGGTGTGCACCAAAGAGCAAGCCAAAAACCAGGGGAAGTTCTTATTTGTATCTTTGCAAATTTCCATCGGAGGCTCCCATAGCACTGGGTTCCCAACCAAGCACTGAGGTTCACGCTGTAAGAGAATCGCTATTTGATTACTCAGCTCCTCATAATTCTGTAGAATCAGGACTGTAACAACACAGGAACATGTCATCACTCACTGGCCTTTTTATGAACATCAATTAAAAGAAAAATGCCTTAGAAGTCTGAAGGAACGTAGGCCTTGATTTTCTATTAAATCATATTCTGTAAATTAAGGAAATGATCAGGGAATCTTAGAATCATATCTGAAAAGTTCTTTGATTCCAGTCGATGAATTTTATGAATGACCTGATTTAAAGCTAGAGAAGTTGACCCACTTGTGCATGGGGACAAGAATAAATAGTCCTTGACTCTTGTGGGTATGATGAACAGTAAGGAATTCCTCACACCTGAGTGGACAGAAGATAGAGAAATGCCACCACACCAGCTGTCTTTCCCCTGACATTCGCCCCAACCAATGGGAGAATTACATAGCTTAGCTATAAACAGAAATGCCATGTTCGATCAATATCTATAAGAGACAGATGGATATCACACTTGCAAATCTTTTTTTTTTCATACACAGATTATTAGAACTTGCCAGAATTTAGCGATTGTTTCCACTGGGGTTCTCAATCCTGATGTCCATCAGAGGCACCTGTGGAGCTATTCAAAACATCTACGCTCAGGTCAATTAAATAATAGTCACAAGGGTAGGACCCAGGCATCAGCATTTTAAAAAATATGCTTGTATTGATTTTTAGAGACAGAGGAAAGGAGAGGGATAGAGAGATAGAAACATCGATGAGAGTGAAATATCAGCGATTGGCTGCCTCCCGCACGCCCCTACTGGGGATCGAGCCCACAACCCGGGCATGTGCCCTCACCGGGAACTGAACCTCAATCTCTTGGTTCCTGGGTTGAGCCACACCAGCTGGGCCAGGCACCAGCATTTTTAAAAGCTTCCCAGATAATTCTAAAGTGTAGACAAGGTTGCATACCACTGGTATAGAATAATGTCTCTCAATGGAGCAGAACTCCAAAGAAACTTGGAACAAATACAAATTTAAATTCTGAGCTTTAGGATGGAATTAGAACTGCTAAAAAGCTTCCCAGGTCATTTCAAGCATTTGGAACTTTTCTAAAAAAAAAAAGAAAAGAAATGGCCTTCATTTTTTTTTTTTGTCCACAGTACAACCATTTGGAGACAAAAAATCTTGAAACAAACTCTAATCTAGCATATAAAACAGCAAGAGAGCAGAGGCCCTGTACCTAAAGCAAGAATGGGGGATTGACCACTCTTTGGGGCCCCTCTGCAGAACCCTTGGACACCTAGAAACCACTGATTTGGCCAGACACATTTACTGATTAGCTGAGCTGCTCAAAGCCCAGAAGGTAAAGTATCTCCCTTTTAAGTCACATAGCAAATTAGAAGCTGAGCAGGGATCAGAATTCAGATTCTCTGATGCCTGCTGTAGTGGCCTTTCCTATGTCACAAGGCCTCCTGTATCTCCACCATACCCCCTTCCTACTTTCATGAGCTAAATGAAACCACATACTCCAATCTGCAACTGTGTAATAAAAAAAAAGTTATATTGATAGATCAATCAACCAATTGATAGATTAAGGAACAAGGACGGGAGTGAGCAATTTCCTACGAGTGACTGCAATGGAGAGCCTTGTCAGCCAAGCATAGTGTAATAGATACATCTGTTGTCAATAATCCTGCCCAGAAAGGGAAAATTTAGATATGCTGAGTACATTAATTTTTCCAGTAAAAAAAAAAAATTGAAACATGTTGTAATGTTAAAAACATAAGAGGAAAGATGATCTCCAATCTGTGCTTCTCTTTGATTCTTTCCGAAAGAAGTTTGCTGTCCAGGGAGTGAAGCTGTAGTTTCAGGTCCTCCCTTACTCGGGCCTCTCCCTTGGGTCGTGGGAGGGGCCGTAGTAATGTATTGCCGGCATCATACTTTTTTTGTTACTGTTAATTCTCACCCAAGAATATTTTTTTCCATTGATTATTTTAGAGAGAGTGGAAGAGAGGGAGGGAGGGGGAAGAGAGAGAGAGAGAGAAACATTGATGTGAGAGAGACACATCGATTGGATTAGTTGCCTCACGCAAGTGCCCGGACCTGGGCTGGGGATCAAACCTGCAACAATTTGGTGCTCAGGCTGATGCTCTAACCACTGAACCACACCGGCCAGGGCAACATCATACATTTTTATAAAATTGACTTACGAGAGATGTGTTCATTGCAACTAGCCAAGACCCTGCCTTTTTCAACTTCCCGTTATGTTGCGTGGCTTTGGAGGAATTACATGCATCTTGGAGGTCTAACTAACAGGAAGTTAAGTTGGGGGTTCATATAGTTTGGGTGCAGTGGTATATATGTATATGGTTTGCAGACATTGCCCTGCAGAAGTACATTATTGCCAGCTCTCTGGTGTAGAAATGTCTTCCAGGAATGGTTCCACCCTTGGTGTCTACTCACCAAGCATGGTCTGGACCAAAAGATCCATAGCAATGTAAACATCTCCTGTAATGGCCAGCAACAGAGATAGGTGGGTAGTGAAGAAGCCAAAACTTAGTGGGATATTTTTTCTAACATCAGATATGTAAAATCTCAAATGTAGGATTCAATTCTCATTGATACCTAGTCAAAACAGAAATTTTCTCCTACCAAGGACACACTCAGTTCAGCATATATAATTAAAAACCATCACATGGTTTTCCTTTATTGTTTTTATGGGAATCACAGAAAACAGAATTAATTGGAATTCTTGTGTTTGCGGGTTCTGTGCACTGTGCGTTTGTATTTTGTATGTAAAGTTGTATGCTTTACGCATCACAACCACCTACAGTAAAAAACTAAATTCTATTGAAATTCAATAGGAGACAATTATCCTGCTATTGTCTGTACAGAAAGTGATAGTGCTAAATAGCTGTCACAGGAAGAGACTAAGCAACCAAAAACTGCAGAAAAAGTATGTCAGACAGTTAATTATTAATAGTATTTTTCTGGATTTTATGATATGCCATCTTCTGAAATTAATAATTTAATTTTCTTTCCCATTCTAAATAAATATTCATGTGTTTAATTTAAGATTGAACTTCTAATTCTTCATGTTTTTCCCCCTTAAAACAGTCTCACATATTGTTTAAGCTTCAGGCCTCAGAAAATCTGGATCTTCCTCTGGTCCCTCCCACAAGGGGCCCCAAGCATTCCCCG